GCCCCATTCTGAGATTCTAATTTATCTGCTTCCTTTTCTACCTCAAGAGTTACTGGTAGGAAACACGCATCTTAATGCTGGTTACCATTTGGCACGTTCCCTCATGCATATTAAGGAGAAAAAAAAAATAAAAAAACAGTTCCAATTTTGAAGGGCAGGCATTTGGCACATTTGAGGCGTCCGCTTTGAAGAGTAGATACCCAGCCTTGTTTTCACTACGTGAGTACAGCCTCACGGCGAAGATTATTAAATGCCGTATTCAAAAAGATACACAGGGAAGAAATGAAGGGGCGTTCACATTTTCCCAGGCATCTAAAACAGATTTCCAGAGAAGTCATTCAATGACAGACACATAGCCAAGCAGCCAAATTGTCCTCTCTCCCCATCTCTGTCCACAAAATCTGAGTCATGACTCCAGCTGTACCACTAAATGTCTTCTTGTCCCGCTTACACCCTGGTGAGCAAAATTTTGGGGGCTCCCCACCCCTTTTCTCTAGGCCTCAAGGGCTGATCTGTCCTGGGCAAACTGATTCTCTACTTTTTTTTTTTTTTAAGTTCTTGATGAATTTATTTCTGAGCAGAATGTCAGTTAATTCTCACCCCTCCTCCCCAGTTTTACTGAGATAGAATTGATTACATCACAGTGTAAGGCTTTGTTTGTTTGTTTGTTTTTAAAGATTTTATTGGGGCATTTGGGAAGGGGAACAGTCAAGTTGTTGTCCTTCAATCCTAGTTGTGGAGGGTGCAGCTAGCTCAGCTCCAAGTCCAGTCACCATCCGGCTGCCCGTCAGCAGCTCGAGGTGCCGTGTTCAATCTTAGTTGCAGGAGGCCGTAGCCCACCGTCCCATGCAGGAGTCGAACCCGCAGCCTTGTTAGGAGCACGTGCTCTCACCAGCTGAGCCATCCTGCCACCTGTTGGCAGCTCAGCGGCAGCTCAGCTCGGGCGCAGCTCACTGGCCCATGTGGGAATCGAACCGGCAGCCCTGTTGCTCAGAGCTCGCACTCTTAACCAACTGAGCCACTCAGCTAGCCCTTACAGTGTAAGTTTAAAGTGTGCAACATAATTGTTTGACTTANATTTTAACCCAGTGCTAGTAACACTTGGATTGTCTCCTGTCCGTGTAGATGTCACATGAAAATATAAAGGCTAACCAGACTAACGTTAAGCTAGAAGGAAGCCCCCTTTCTGTATTTACCACTTGCTTGTGCTATGTTTCATCCAAGAAAGAAAAGCATAGAATGACATCTTACTGGAATTAAAGAATTTATTTACAAGACTCACAGGCATTACCTACTAGTGAAACTAGTGTGTCCTTTGAAATTTTTATGGAGGAATTTCTTTTCTTTTCCTTTAAATCCCTGGGAAATGATTTTCCGTGGCATTTGCCTGAAAGTGTGACCTAAATGATGACATTATTCTGCGCTCTCCCAAATGGGACCGCGTCTGCCATGTTGGCCTTTCTCCACATAGATGCCCAAAGGTGGTGTCGGTGGAGTGTCAGGACAGCCAGGGGTCATCTGTGGTGGAGACGCCAAAGAATACCCACAGAAAGAAAGGGAAGGACAGTGCTTTATTATATGAATAGCTTTTGGCCCATGGCCCTCGTGGTTTTGGCGACAGAACGCACAGTTACCTTGTAAAGTGCGGGACCGAACATGAATTCAAGGAGTGAGGAAACTGACGTCTGGATGCTGTGTTTCCATGATTGCTGCTTTGGGTACAGGCGGGAAGGAGAAAAAGGGCATCCCAACACAAGCCACCTGGCTTGCAATCTTTGTCATAGTGAACCATTCAAATAAAAAAGAAAGAAAGACAGACAGGAGAAAGAAACCAAACAGGATAAATGATTCATTGGGCTTTTAGAATGCATTTGATGTGCTGCTCCCTGCGAGGTGTGACATTATAGAGTTAAC